GAAACAAAACCCAAAAACAGACATGACAGATCCACCCCCTGTATGGGCGGCTCCCAATGCCCAAATGGAACACCTACCCCAAAACAAAAAACGGACAATATTAAAAAAAACTGACAATATTTAATATGGAAATTTAATATACTGTATGTACATATATTACATTTGCGTGTGGGAAGCCAAAGACTGGAGTGATGACTGCTAAAAATCCAGCTTTGCCATCACAGGAATTAGTTACATTTTATTTTATATATTGTATAGAAAAAAGTTTTTAAATTTAAATTATATTTCATTTTTTTGCTGTATTTTGCTATATCACACCTACTCCAAACTTATGAACCGTAGTAAATAATGTCTTATTTGTTGTGATACACTCCTATTGTATATGCACAACTATAGAAAAAAAAATGCTGGCATGAGTTTCTTGTTTGGGAGGCAACTGCAAGATAATTGTTGAGGAGGAATAACTTTATCTTTGCTGAGGCTTCAAATTAGCAACAATATAAATTTTTTCCACAAGTACTTTAACACATTTTGTTCCACTCGCCGAGGCTCATTTCACCATTATATTAGACGATAGCAGCTTTTTTTTAATGCAGTACTTTCCAAGGACGTCACTGGGTGATGTATCCAAGTTGAGATCCAGCCGCCTGAACTGCTTTTTAATCATTATCATGACTGGCTCATTAGTGTGCCAGTGACTTCCGTAGCCTATCCAGACGGCAACAGATTGTCAGTGTCTGGATGAAAATGTAAAGAATTTAACGGTTGTGGCTTCAATTCATGTTTTAATATATTACAGAAATATATATTTAGGAAAAAGAAATGCAATTTTAGTGCTAAATAATGGAATGATTTCATTAATAAATGAATTTAAATGTAACTCTAACTGATCAGGTTTATCTGTTAGATGTACACTAAAAATGTGTTTGAATTACTAAAAGGAACCGACTTAGAGTCAGTTTTTCAGTAAGTGGACAACACTGGTTGCATAGTGTGCTTTCGATTCACTAAAATCATAAGATTAATTCATTATGTAAATGGACTACACTGGTTGTGGTATAATGTTTTATTCACTAAAAAGAACCGGCTCATAATAGTCACTCATTCTGTAAATGGACTACATTGTTAGTGCAATATGATTCATTAAATTTCATTTAATTCTTTTAAAAGAACTGGCTCTTGAGAGTCATTCGTTCTGTAAATGGACTATACTGGTTACACTGTATATTTATGATTCACCAAAAAGGAACCCATTCAAAGGAGTTTTTGTTCTCTAAACAAGCCAGCTCGTAAGAGTCACTCTTTCTGTAAACAGACAGTGTTAGCGCCTTCTGCTTTTAATTCATTAAAAGAATTAGCTCACGAGTCATTAGTTAAGGAATTGGACTACACTGGTTGCACCATATGTTTCTGATTCACTAAAAAGGAACCAACTCATAAAGAGTCATTGTTCTCTAAACAAACAAAACTGGTTCTGCTGTGCGTCATGATATCTGTGTTGCAGCACTGTTGAATAAATATTGCTGGAAACTGTCCAAGTATTTTAGTATGGTGTTTCGTCTCTCTGTTACCGGGTATCAAACATCAAAAGGTTTCCAATCCTAAGCAACCTTCACTCACATTTCTTTTAGATAATATAAAAATCTAGTTCTTCTCTGTATATTCTGTCTTTGATGATCAACAAATGAATTATCCATGAGCAGCTTCCAGCGCATTTTTGTGTCTGAAGTCAAAGGACTTCAATATGAGTATCATCAGATGCCGCTCTTACTGACATTGTCATGTATCATTTTCATTAGCTAGTGCAAACACGAGTATGTCCTAACAGCATTCGCCGAATTTCAATGGCATACTGAACCATTGTGTATTCATGTTAGAAAGAAACATTAGCACTCTATTACACAGTGTGTAGACGTGCTTCTGCTGCCAGTGTCAGATTTTCACAGGTTATTCCAGGAACGTAGCAGTGTGTCTCCTCCTTGCACACTCAGGGCACACCTCCAGCGAGAGAGGGCAGAGCGTGTCTTTCAACAGAGCTGATGTCTGCAGTCACGGAGAGCCAGCTCGCGGGGAAAAAACACAAAGCACTTGTGTGATTCAGTGACACGCACACAAAGTCTGATCAATACTTATTTTAAAAGAACTGAAATATATACATAATATTACTGTATGCTCCACACATTCACACTTTAGCAGAGGAGAAAGGGACCTAGCAACTCTAAATTATTCCATAGCTGTTTTGGAACATGGTTTCTAGCTGGTCTAAGCTGGTTATTAATTGGTGTAAGCTGGTAGACCATCTTAGATAAGCAACAAACCAGCTACCAGCTGGTGATATTAGCTTTAAGGGATAGTTTACACAAAAATGAAAAGTCTGTTATCATTTACTTACCCTCATGTTGTTCCAGAGCTGGTTGACTTACTTTCTTTTGCATAACAGAAAAGAAGATATTTTGAAGAATATTTCAACTGTTTTTGTACATGCAGTGAATGTCAGTTGGGTCCAAAACGACATTGGACTAGGTCTGTGCGATATTAATAAAAACGAGATTTTGTTGTTAATGATAATTAGACAATATTTTGTTTTTGTGCTGGTTTAGGGCTGTTGTGGGCAGCTGATTATGAAAGCTTTTTGTATTCTTCAAATTATGTGCAGTGGTTAGTTCACGGCAATGACAGAAACCAGCTTTTTCATTAAGGGTTGATATTTGCCCCTCTAAATTGATTTCCAGTGGCAATTTTGACCTTATTATATGTAGGTCTATATGTGTCGAGTTTTATGTCAAACTCTTACTTGCTTTTAAAGTGCTTTAAATGCAGTTTTTATTTTATATTTTATATTTAAGTGTGAATAATTATATATATTCATAAACATATATTTAAATATAAATCGAAAGCCACAAATAAGTAGAGGCAAGTCACTGTCTTAAGTCATTGAATCATTAATTCAAACTGTTCATTCAAAATGGCTGATTCATTCAGAAACAAAGCTTTATGACTAGATTATTAAATAATTCACTCAAACAAAAAAATTAATTGTTAAAAAATGTAAATTATTATTGTTAAAAAATTCTGATTCATTCAGTACTGAAACTTAGCTTTTCACAATGTGAGTGACATACTTCATATTGTCAGCTCACACATTGTTAACAACAGTAGACAATACATATCGCACACCCCAACAGTGGACCCCACTGACTTTTTACAAAATTTTATAATACCAATAATTCCTTGCCCTTCCTGACCTTTAGGATAATTCCTCTCCAGTGCTTCTGCCATGATGAAGGGTTCAATCTCATCTCATTCCCATGTATTCCAGATCATACTGAAAAACTGATTTTCTTCCTTTTAAGTACAGCTCTCTCCTACCATGACGTAGTGCCCTTATTCTGAGCAGACTGAGCTAATATCATTATGCTAAAAATATCATTTATTTTAGTCTATAAACAAGTAAAGTAAAAGCTCAGTTTAGGTGTTGTTCTCGCCGACTGCATTGCAAAACATTGCTCTTCTACGTTTGGACATAACATGTGTAACCACTGTCGCTGTGAACTCCTCAGCAACGTCAGATCCAACTGAATGTAGAATATCAATGACCATCCTGACACTTGAGTGCTCAGAGGGATAAAGTGATCCAATTAGGCTTTCATTAAGCTTTAATGAAAATGCATAACTGCATGGCTGCTGGGTGCAGCCCTGTTATTGTCTTTGGAGAAATGCTAGGCATGTGTCACAGTGTCACATTAGCACACAAATAATATATCCACTTCAAGTATGCCAGCTAGTGCATGATCCATCATGCCCTTGTACATACATTAATGCTGCTGAAGCCCAAGGGCCACAAATGAACAGCGGATAGATACAAGTAATTCAATCCTGGTGTCTTCCATCATTAAATAATGTAAAGGAATCCTGGGAACAGGTCAGAATAAAGCAATAATCTGCAAGAGGCCCTGTGTTAATAAAATACACCAATGCAGAAGAAATAATTAAGGCTGTAAATCAATGAAAACATTCTACTGAATTAAATATAATGATTTTTTAAATAATTTTAATAATAATAAAAAAAATACAATAAAAACTGTTGAATTGTGAAATAGTTGTACAATTTAAAATAACTGTTTTCTATTTTTATATATTTTAAAATGTAATTATTCCTGTGATGGCAAAGCTGAATTTTCAGCATCATTACTTCAGTCTTCAGTGTCACATGATTGTAATATGCTGATTTGGTGCTTAAAGGGGTCATATGATGCTGCTAAAAAGAACATTATTTTGTGTATTTGGTGTTATCCAGTGCGTTGTGATTGGCCGAATACCTCACGCGTGTGGCGGAAATGTTACGCCCCTTACCACATTGTGACGATGCCCTGTCAGACCGGAGCGATGATTCAAAAACATGAAAACCCATTATAAACGAGGCATTCGTTGCATCCAGTGGGGACATAATTATGGAGAAAGGAAAAATTGAAATCGCATCATATGACCCCTTTAAGAAACATTTCTTATTATTATCAACATCAAAAACCTTTGTATTGATTAATATTTTTGTGGAAATGGTAATTCAGTTTTTTTTCAGTAATCTTTGATTAATAGAAAGGAACAGCATTTTTTTTGCAATGTAAATATTTCTGTAACAATTAAAAGTCTTCACTGTCACTGATCAATTTAATGCATCCTTGCTAAAGGGTTATTGAAAAAAAAAACCTCATGTTGTTCTAAACCTGTATGATTTTTTTCTTCTGTGGAAAACAATAGAAGATATTTTGAAAAATGTCTTTGTTTTTGTCCATAAAATAAAAGTCAGTAGGGTCCAATGTTGTTTGAACCTCATTCTTCAAAATATCTTCTTTTTTCCCCCACAGTCATACAGGTTTTGAACAAAATAAGCACAAGTAAATGATGACGATGTAATTTTTACTTTTGTTTGAACTATCCCTTTAAGTTATGAATTCTATTGTTTATGGATGCTACGTTTATCACACACTGTTTTTCCACAGACTGTCTTATCGAACTGGTCAGGATACAGCCAACTGTGACACGTGTCGTAACAGTGCCTGCATCATATACAGGTGAGTCTCTGCTATATCTGAATCTTTCAGCTTGGCCAAAAAATTAATCCTTGATTTAAAGATTCTGAGCATACTAAGGCACACATTTGTACAAGTGCAGCTTCAGTGTCCAATTATATCGGCAAATTTGTCACTGTTTGTACTGTAGTAAAGCTTTGAAGAACTAAAGAGTGTAAAATCTGTACTGTTAGCCCGGGCTCTTCTACCAATAAGAATTTTCAAGGATAAAATGAAAAATATCATGACTGAGTGAGTTCCTTTGATGCAAGCCACATATGAACTTTATACATTTTTACCAACCAGACCAATTGAAAAATACACTCAGAGATGGCATGAACTGTAAATGTAGAGTTTTTCTTTTATATAGGAATGCAGGTTAAGTAGCAAATGTAACTGTATGATTCTCAGAAACATAACTATTCCTCTTAAATGTATAGGTTTGCTGATTTTGTTATAAAAGCAATAATTACCCCCATGTCATTTCAAACCCATATGGCTTTGAAACCCAGAATGCAGCAGACCTATATAACACACACACACACACACACACACACACACACACAATATTCTGGCATGTGGGAGCAAAACATAAACATTTTGCCTCTCAAGCATTTTTGTATTAATTTATTTACACATTGTAATCAAATGCAGTGACATGTACATAAAGGCATGCCATCTATCATCAGACAAATGCAGCATTTCACCGCCTACCAGACGACCCTGGAATATATTACTTGGGTCAGAAAAGAAATCAAAAATATGCAATTCAGTTTGCACAGTGAGGGAAGTCAAATACACACAGATATGCATGCTGTATCAGCACTCTTTGAACACTGGCCCAGAGGACTAGAATTACACTATTATAGAGAAGAGTTAAAACACATTCACAAAAAAATGCTATTATATTATATTATATTATATTATATTATATTATATTATATAAATAAAATACAGACTAATCAGTGTTGAGGAAACCACTTTGAAAGTGAAGCTTGACAAGTTAGCTACTCAAAACAAAGTCAACCCAATTTACTTAGAATTATATATATATTAGTGCTGGACAACGATTAAAATGTTTAATCGCGATTAATCGCATGATTTTCGCATGAATAATGATATTTTATAGTTTGTTATAGAAAAACATAGGGATGCACCGATATGAAAATTTTGGCCGATACCGATAACCGATAATTCTTTATTTTTGAAAGCCGATAACCGACATGTTGGCCGATAAATCTATATCCAAATTTTTATATACTTTTTGAGAGCCTGATTACAAAAAAGGTCTAGGCTCCTTCCGAGTAGAGACCTGCACTATCGCAGGACCCCACGAGACAACACTTGATGGGCGAGTGCGGGTGGGTAGAGACTCGTGTGTGCGGGATGCGGGAGAATAAGGGTGTACTCACACTAGGCAATCTTAACCATGCCCGAGTGCGTCTGACCCCCAAAGCCCAGTTCGTTTGACTAGCGTGATCACTCCGTGCCACGCTAGGTTAGAAGAGGTGGGCCAGAGCGCAGTTCAGTTATATATAGATCAGTTCACAATATATTGTGAAAGGGGCCGTGTGTTACCGCGTCCCCAACGACTCAAAATAATAAACCACAAAGTTAACAAAACGATGCACTCTACTGTGTTGAGCGAGAGCGCTTCTCTGCTGTCTTCACGTGCTATCGGAAACTTCCTGTTTCCCACTTATGAAGTTGTGAGCGCTTCATGTGAGCGCTGCTGCAGTCTTAGGCCCACCCCAAATGCTCTCATTGGTTGAGATGAGTGATAACACCCATCCCAAGCCAGTACTGATCAACATCCCACCGCTCCTGTGACTCATGGTTTATCTGTGTGTATTCAGAGCCAGAGAGCAACAGACTTTAATAATAATAAAAAAACTGCGTTAACGCGCGATAAAATAATTGTCGACAATAACGCGTTAACTTGCCCAGCCCTAATTATATTATATTATATTAATTTGGAACGACATAACGGTGAGTAAATGATGCCAGAATTTTCATTTGGGGTTAAACTATAAAGAGACTCATAACTAATTTATTTGACTGAAAATAACAAATAAAAATTCTTTATCAAATTAAATCTAAGATTTTGCACTAGTAAAATATGATATTATTGCTTACATCTGTGTTAAAGGACTGTTTATTTGATTGTTAGTATGTTTATCGTGAATATTCATCTGTTCTGCTCAGGGGTGCTTCCGATTGTTAAGTAAACCATGAAATTGAAGGATCTGATTTGTAAAAGCTATAATTGGTTTTGGTTCTCAGGAACAGTTCACAGTGGAAAGACAGTGGGTTTGGGTGAGCAATATAGTGGTGTTAAATTGCAGCTCAATGCTTTTTCCAGAGATCCCCTATAACCTACTATTGGAAGGTTCTTACAGAAGAGGACATGCTGTGACATTAGTATGAGAAGAATGCTGAGCAGAAACAGAAACATGTATTGGTGAAGGTGATGTGGTTGTCATAGTTACCAAAGTGATGAGGTGGTGAAGAGGGGAAAGGTGGTCCTAGCTTTGGTTGGGGTTAGTGAATCAGAGCAGTCTATGAATCTCTCTGTGTGTTTGTGTGTGTGTGTGTGTGTGTGTGTGTGTGTGGTCAAACAAAACACTTCATTCTACACTGTAAGGTTGTAATGAACCACTTTCAGTAGCTGATACCAATACCAGTGAAATTTCACCGGTCTCTGTGCTACTTGTGAATTCACAGCAAAAATAATATATAACAACATTTATTTATGGCATTTTAATATTAATACATTATAATTAGGACTGTCAATCGATTAAATTTTTTTATCTAATTAATCACACCCTTTTTCTGTGATTAATCGCGATTAATCGCACACTTCATTAAATTAAGCATAGACCACTTATCTTGTTTCAAATGTTTATTTTGTCATCATTTGCTATATCCAGAAAAGTAAACCAAAAGATTGAAGGGTGATTCTCAAAAATCTATATTTTCTGCAAGCTTTTTTCAAGATAAATTTAGATGTCTTTCCAAAAAAGGACACTTAGAATCTCCAAAAGGACACCAAAGAACCAAATGATATAAGGAGCCCATATAAGCACATATGAAAGAAAAAAAAATCTTAATTTTATAGTATGTGTACAGTGCAACAGCAAAGAGCTTTTTTTTACATTTTAGAGAAGTCAAGTTGTGATACCGAACAGGACCACATGGAGATGCCAAAAAAAAAAACCCTAAACCAACTGCCTGCTGACTGCATATATCTACAGTACACGGATCCATTCAGTATAACTAACACATGACACAGCAACATACACATGACAAATCAAAACATTATCGCGAATGTGTGTGGAAACAACGTAAATGTACGTAAATGTCTGTGCCTGTGCATAAATACAATGTGCGATCAGTGTGTCAAGAGCTCATACACGCATTATTATAACGGACTCACGTGTGCTTAATATACGACTCCTGTACGCCACCGCAATCGTCTTTACCTTGATTGCAGTCTTCATCTATCAAAACTTTACTAGCGAGACTGGTTATCAATTTGAGAAACCGTAGTTTGCGTCTCATCTGGCCATACAGCGGTGGGATGGGTTGACAATCTGTTCAGTCTGTACTTCACACAGCGTGTGTGATGTGTGAGGGCTCGCGCTCTTCAGAGACAATCACAGAATATGACAGAGCTCGTGTTTTAAAGCCAAACACACTGGAATGAATAATTCGCTTAAAACGCAACGCGAGTCTCTGTTCTCTCTACAATCTCTGATGTAATCAGCCTGGTTTCCTTTATATTAGCGCTGTTTTGGACGAATTTTTTTAATGCATTCGCTTACTGGATCATTGGACTGCAAAACTTTTAGCAGCTTAAAATTAGAATAGAAATTGTGCTTCCGTAATTTTGCATTAATTGCGTTAAATAATTTTAATGCGTTAAGGATTGTAAAATTAATCAAATGCGTTAAGGCGTTAACGTTGACAGCCCTAATTATAATATTTAATACATTAATATTTAATACATAATACATTTTTGTCTTAATTTTGTGTCAAGTTAATACTTTTGACATTCCTGTACACTGTCCAACTGCCCACAAATCCTAATGGACAAGAGAAGAAGGCCTACAAGGTCAAAGTTCATTGTTCATTCACTGTGCTCAACATGACCCATACAGGGTTTAAAATGGATGCCAGCATGGTGTAAGATAGCTCTCACTCTTCCTCCATCACAACTTTCTCAAAGGAACAGAGAAGGCACTCTAAGAGATCAGCATGCTCCCAGCAAACAACCAACTAGCTGGCTGCAGCATACTGTGCCACATTGTTGTTTTAAACAATGGTACATCCTTCTTTCAACCCAGACTATTTAATGTGTATTCCTCTTCCAAACATTTGCAAAAGTGAATTCCAAACAAGTGGATGCTTTGAGTGTCTTTGAGTACTAAGACAATGAGTAATGGATTTGAGTACTACATCAGAGCAGTTTTTTTTGTGAAATACTATTATATTATATTATATATATATTTTTTAAAACTTTTTTTCCACTTTTAATTACATAATTCTCTATGTGCTAGCTAGACAACAGGCCTTAATCTTTGAATTTATACACTGTTACATGTATTGAAAAGAGCATTAGAAATATTCATGAACAGTTAAGCACCTTTCTGCTAATACGGACTTACAGAGAGCCCAACCATGCAACCTTGTTAAGAAAATTAAAAATAATGATTCAAATAGCAGATTAAAAAAGTTATTCTAGGGGAAAAAATGATCAGCACTGCCATTTGCAGTTTTGTGTAAAATGCAAAAAAAAGGGCCAATTAAAAAAATTATCATGATTTTTTTTAGCTGTGTAGTGAGTATAATAAGCAAATTCCAAACTATATATTGTGGGTATTTGTTTCTGAACCTTTAGTGTGCTTAAGTGGAGTCTTGATGCTTGATTCCCATTCCACATTTGCATCAGCTCAACTAAGCTCAAATTCTTTATGCTTTTGTTTGGCACTCGTATCTAAGAG